ATCGGTTTAAAGAGTTATTAATTTATGCTCAATTGGCACAAAGTACAATCTATTCCAACCACCCGCAATAATCTTTGCCGAGCTTGTGATTCATACTCCAATAAAAACGGAAGTTCTTATTACACGTTTTGCGTCACGTCTCCATTCTGGTCTAAGCTTTTCTCAAATTATATATAATTTTATATAATGCGGACGACAAACTTTAATCGTCCCGATAACTCGACCGAAAGCTTTCCAATTTGTGATGGTACGGAAAGTACGAGATGACGATGTGAACCACAAGAATGGATTATTGATTATCGGTTCTCCGAATAATTCTTTGATTTGCAAGAACTACTTTTATATCTAAATCATTTCATCGAATCTGTCCGTCATAATTAAATGTAACTTTAAATAGCAGTTTCATTACTGTATATGGTATACACAATACATATAGGTTTTTGCGTACAAAACGCTGTATCAATATATACGTATATATATATATATATAATCTTTTTCGAAATAAAATTTACGGACATTTATATATCTATTTAATGTAGAGAATGTTTCCTAAACATCTCGTCGATTAAATTTCAATCTTTCTATGATCTTTTTCCGTTTCTTTTCTTCGAATGCATCTACAAGAATATAATTCACAAGAATATAATTTAGCGAATTTTTCAATATTAACGAAGTATCGATTACATAAGTTTTAACGAGTAACACAAATTGATTTCAGCAATTTGTACGGCAAACTGGTTAACAGTAATTGATTTCGATAAATTGAATGGCAAACCACTAACGAAAATTTTACTTCGGACTCGGTTATACATTTAATACTGAAAGTTTATAATGTTAGCATAAATAGAGGTTTCAAATTAACTTGTCATTGAAGAAATTCATAGTGAGATTGTGTTTACTTAGAAATATCAACGATTAAATTACGTTGACAATTTACGATTAGCCAAAATGAAAATGTTCAATACATGTTTTATGAGACCGCAAAATTAATTCATTAAATTTTTACGATAGTTAAATATATCTTCCTGACGTAATTGCCAATAAAAATGACATATTTTATTATAGATGATGAAACGTGATTAAAAACTTTTTTAATTCATATAATTTAATTTAAATAATCATATTTCAAAAATTACGAATTGCGATTATTTTATTTGACATAAAAATGTCAAAATTAAATCTATTGATGGAATTACGATAATATGAAATAAATAACAATTTTAAATTAAAGAATTGATAGGGAGGCGTATATTTTCTATACTAGTATACTCTAATATACTTCCAATATAAAAGTCCAATAGACTATCGATGCTTAATATTTTATATAGAATTAAAAAAACATCGTTATATCAATAGCATTATTTTAATTAAAATAATCTTGTTAATTCAATAACAATATTAATGAAAATAAAATAAAATTTTATTAAAACAAAAGCATTACATATTTTTTCATTAGTATTATGGAATTAACAAAATTACTTTCAATAAAAACAATGCTGTTGACACATCATTTTTCTCAGAGAATAAGAAACGCTTATATTCGGATAAATATATATGAGCATCAAGAAAGTAGAATTAATATAAATTAAAAATAGAAATATCGAATACGGCAACTATTCAATCAGTTAACAATCGATTGTCGTTAAGTATTTATAAGTCTTAAACGAGAGCGAAAAAACAATCATTTGATTCGGTTTTCCTCCAATGTAGCAAGTCTTACGAAGAGTTCCATGAGAAAAAAAGAAAAGTAAAAGGAAGATTGTGACGTATCGGTGAGAGCGAAAGCGACCGTGCTGCTTTGACGATTTTTCTCGTCACGGAAACGTACCAAGGTTACGTCGATGCTTTGTTGCGTCTCGTGCCTCGAGCGTCGATTTCTCGTGCGAGTCGTTACATTAAAAATCGCACCGCACAAAAATGGCCATCTTTACGTAATACGGATAACGAAAATCAGACGGACATAAATCCATGATCGTTAATCATCCGGTTCGAGAATTTATTTGGAATTCATTTAGTATTCATTTTAAATGATAACATTTGACCGCCTACGCTCCAATTCTGTAAAACGAATTTGGAAAAGGAACAACTTGCTGATAAATTTCTATAGATAAAACTCATCTAACAACTCTGTTTGACCTCAAATTTACAAAGATTATAATTAATGATAAACATATATGCTGCGTCCAGTAAACATTGAGAAAACGATTCTTCGTGGAAAAAAATCAAGTAAAGAATATAAAGCAAGTTTTTCTGTGAGATTGCGTGGATTCTTTTCAAAAAAATTAATTATCCAGATATAAATAACGTTCTTTTATACGTAAACACTTGTTGAAACAATCTACTGACTGACAGCAAAATACTCTTGACATCCAACCTTTGAATTTGTTCATGCGACAATGTGCGATCATGCTGCGGAATACTGATAACGTTGTTAGTTCATTGGCTTCCCAAAATAGTAAGATACATCAATTGCGATATATTTCTAGAATTTGGAGTTCATAATAATATCTCAACTGTAATTAACTATCGGCGCACAATATTAATTTTTAACCTGAATCATTAATGGACAGTTGGAAGTATTTCTATACTCCAGGTAGTATTTTTACACTCCAGCAGGAAAAATTGTAAAATATTGTTTTGTTTGGGTATTGTTCAATATATTTCCTTTTATTTTTAATAACTATGCTTTATAAATCTTTAAATACACAATTCCATTGAAAATCCGCAATAACAAAAATTACATAAACCTTTATTTTTTAGAAATCCTGTCATAAGCTACTTCACGTGTTTATTTTATTTAATATTTGTTTCAATTCGATTTATTTTTTCAGAAACTTGTGATTAACTCCATAAAATTCTCAAATACTAATATGGGGAACAATCAATAATATACAATATGTAGTTAATAAATGATTTTAATTATAGAGTAAAAACATCTCAAGTAAGTTTACATAAAAAAAAAAAACTACTTGTGAAGTATAATAAAATAGATAAATAGGTACACAGATACCCTAAAAAAATTTATTTTTATAGTTATCTTTCAATAGTATGTATAGAGTTTTTACCTTATTTATATCCTTTTAAGACAGAAAAATATAAAAATAATGAACTTTAAAACTTCTAGGCAATATTTTTTATTTTCAATTTTCCAGAACAAAGTTTTTAAGATAATTGTGCGTGGGATGCTGTGGCCTACCTAAAGGTTAATGTGAGGACAAATAGATTTACGCTCGAAAAACTCAAGAGTTCATAATCGCTTTTCTCACACGATCGATAGGAACTCACTTTCTATTCTTTACTCCATTTTTCCACAAGAAATTACCTCGCCGATTCCTACCGCAGATTACTGGACACCCTGTGCAATAAGCTTATTGCCAATCCACGGGAGATTCTCTTCCCCGTATCTACTCTCGTTCGAAAACGCGTCCGACGAAAAACCGTAATAAAAAATGATAATTTCCAGGATCTCTCTCCGTCCCTTCCCGCGAATGTCTCAAGCCGTAATTTCTTCGGGGTGTGCCACGACCGGCAGCAACAGCCGGCAGTCTCGACCGATTTTACACCGAACCTCCTGCCATGATCGTAAAAGCGCGCGCGGGAGACGCAGTCCGAGCGTAACCGAGGCGGTTTTTTCGTGTACGCATCGCGCCGGTTGCGTGCGTGCACGCACAAACACGCACGGACGCAAACACAAGAGAAGCGAGAACGAGGACGATGAGAGAGAAGCGTTTATCGCCTACGATCCGTCACCTCCCGCGCACATGTTGAAGAGATTAAGGCTTTTTACCCGGTTTCTCTCCTCGTGCGAGCCGGCCGCTCGAAATCGTCCTCATCGTTCTCTTCATGGTCACCGAGGAAGGCGGGAAGATGCACTCCTCGCTTTAAAGTTCCTAGACATAAAAGTCTGGCCAATTTTGTTCTATTTTTGATTGGCTGCGCGTTCAACAGACTCGACAGTTGAGTGAGTGATCGATTGATGTATTCTTTTAGATTTAAAAGTTTGATAGGATGATCTAGAAGAATACATTAATAATAGTGAACACTCACTCAACTCTTGAATCGGCTGACCACAGCTACTGGCTGTGTTCAGCAGAGAGGACTAATCAGTTAGCGTTTAGTGATTCTTTAATATGATCGGTTCTTGCCTTTAGTTCCTCGCTGAATCTACACTGTTAGAAATGTGACCACGAGCTTCCTTTATATGTAAATGAAGCTCGTAGTTATGAACGAAATTAAAAATAATGAATGATTAAACTGAAAATTAAATTACAGTAGTTACTTAAATGTAATGAACGTGTACATTAAATTTATGAAATTTCTCATAAAATTTTATAAAAAGTACATTAAATTTCATCAATTTTCATGAAAAATACATTAAATTTCATGTACATGTACACAATTACACTTTTCAGTTGGAAATATATTAAATTTAATGTAATGTTATGAAATTAAGTTCAAATTATGTAAATTAAAAGTATATTAAATTTCATGAAATTTTTAACAGTACAAGTATAGGAACCAATCATATTAAAGAATCATTAAGCGTTAATTGATTAGTTTTTTCTGCTAAACGCAGCTATTAGCACGATGAAAAATGGCGGGACCAATCAGATAATGACTGAGCACGTGAAAATATTGAAAAGCAGATATGTGAAATGCCTCGTACAGTTTCTTGCCGCACACACTTTCTGTACTTAACAGTAAAGCTGCGTTTGAAAACGCTACCTGAATATCTCCAAGTATCATCTTATCCTTGTTCAACATTCAGTGAACAATAAGGATAAAATGATACTCGGAGGCACTCAGGTAGCGTTTTCGAACGTGCCCTATTTGTAATGCGTATTTTTACCAATGCACATGTATGTGTATATTTTTAATCAAATTAGAATCCTAGAAGATTGGCCACTCTTCTAGGGATACCAGTCCTTGGAATTCGCGGTTGATGGAAATTTTCGCTCGTTTTCACTATATTCATTTACTCACCAGGACGGCTGTCACTCTCAATCGTCTGCACCGTCGGTGTGACTTCGGGATCCAAATCGAATAGGAACTTCAAGATTACGTACCTGTAATCGACAGACGGATCTTTGTCAATACACTGCGCTCCGAAGTCTTTGGATTGATATTGAACATGTTCGGATCGACGAGAAATATCAACACGGTTTGAAATCAAGCGCGAACGTGCTTGGAAATCGTAATTTATGTATATGCGTGCACGCATACGAAACGATCGCGTTTAGAGACTCAGTTTTTCATTTTCTGCTTAACTTGAGGTTAGACTTGTGTCCATTTCTAACTTTAATCTCGATTTAACTTACTTCTTATCTTGTTCTAATTCTATGAGATCGGTATTTACATCAGTTGGTTCTTATTTCAAGATCATCTTAAAGACCACTGTACACACTTTCCATAGTCAATCAGAGCAGAAAATTTTTTATAATTCTTGACTATGGTTGGTTAATTCTTACGATGTGTCTTATACCTGTTTCTACCAACGTAGTTTAATCTTAATCTTAGCTTATTAATTAACTCTTCATCTTTTTCTAGTTCTAAGAATTAAAAAAAGATGAAGAGTAAATTGAACCGAAATTGAATTGAAATGAATCTACATTGGTAGAAACGCACATTATGAATAGAGCGCGTTCGAAAACACTACCTGAGTGCCTCCGAGCATTTTATCCTTATTATTCACTGAATGTTAAACAAGGATAAGATAATACTTGGAGGCACTCAGGTAGCGTTTTCAAACGCAGCCTTACTGTTAGGTACAGAAAGTGTATGCGGCAAGCAATTTCTAAGTAATTAAGGTGCTAATACTGCTCTGTGATTGGCTTATGACATCTTAAGACTGTACTTCAAACGGTTTTAAATATAAGATCCAACTAGGAATACCAGTCTAAGAATCAGAAAAGATAAAAAAGTAATACCAGCCTAAAAATCAGGAAAAGATAAAAGATAAGTTAAACCGAGATTAAAGTTAATCTACATTGATAGAAATGCAGATTAACTTTAATCTCAGTTTATAACTTATTTTACATCTTTTTCTGATTCTTTGGTCGGTATTCCTAGTTGGATCTTAATATTAATATTAATGAACAAGAATAAAATGATGCATCATGTGCATCATGCGTGAAACGCACTGATGATAATAGGTCTATTCGCATTGCTTGCACTTTTTGCACTCAGCATCTTTGCTTTCTCTCTCTTCAATTAATTCGAATATGTACTCGTATTTATATCCTTTTAAGTGTAAAAATTTTTGGGAATTTCAAGCAACGCAAACAGACCTAATGTAAAAATTGTATTTTTGGCGTCATAATCTCAAGAACAGATTAAAGACTCAAATCCATCAACCGGTAGAAACACAACACTAAAATAATAAAAATTATATTTTTCTATTTATAGTCAATCTATTAAACTGATAATTTTGTAGAATAACTTTTAAAGCTACCATTACATAATCATTAGTTTAATAATTAATCGAGATTGATTAAATAAATAAAAGCTTAAAAAATACAATTTTACATTATCATCAGATTAAGTGTGGTTAAATAAAAAATTAACTAAGACAAGAAAATAGAGTAGTGCCCGTTTCTACTACTGTAAATTAATTTTAATCTTGGTTTAACTAACTTTCCATCTTTTTCTAATTCTAAAAATTAGAAAAAGATAAAGAGTACATTAAATCAAGATAAAAATTAATCTACATTAGTAAATAGAAATTTTTTTATAAGCTAACAGTTCGCGGAATGACAAAGCTGGGAAGAATATTAAATTCCCGAGAGCTCTTCTCGGAGAGAGAGAGAGAGAGAGAGAGAGAGAACCGACGTTCACACACGCATGGCGTTCTCATGAATTTAAGAAACGTGGTGTGTTCTCATAAACCTAACTAACCAGATGAAAGAAATGTCGCGTGAAAGAGAATCTAAATATTTTCACCGCGCGAGGATAGCCGGTCGCATACGCTGATTCCGACATTCCGACGGCGTATGAAACTGCGCGTAAAAAGATAAAGGAGGTCTCATGCCCCGACTCTTGCAACGCGCGGCTAACGTACACACAGATGCGCCGTTGAACGTCATCGTTGGAAAAACGCACGACACAAAAACTCCGTGGCGCGCCGTCCCGTATATTATATCAAAGCGTCGCTCGAGCACTCACGAGCATTCAAGGTTCCACACGAAGGACTTATTCCCCCTATATTTAATTAGAAGAAAACGCAGACTCTCCCCTGACTGTCCGATTCTCCACGGTCAAAGATTCACGAGTGGAAGAAGGAACTATATCTCACGACTCATGGGCTTTTATCATATCGAAAATTTCACACGCTCACCTCTCGAAGCTGGTCGAAGCGTCTCCGTACGCAGTTCAGCAGTTGCCTTTGAGGGTTAGTTTTTCGCCGGCTTGTGGCTCGAGAGAAACAGCCGGCACGTGCCGGGTTCTTTCCGACGAGACACGTCTCGAGGTGTCCGATAACGCGACTCGACGATCGTGGGTCAAATTTAACGTGCGATTTCGTGGAAGACGTGCACACCCCGCTAAAGCGACTCCTTGACGACCTCACGTACACGAAAACCTCGACTTTTTCGAACAACGATCGCTCTCTACGTACCGGCGCGCGCTCCGTACACACCCGACGCCGCTCGCGCGCGTCCTCCCGCCTCCCGCTGCGCTCGGCCGCGCTCGGCCGCGCTCGGTTGAGCTCGGCGGCGTTCGGTCGGCCTCGGTCGCGCCGGCACGAACGGCCGGAACAGTCCGAACGCCGCGCCACCGCGACGTAAATCGTGTAGGTGGTCGCGCATCCCGACGAGTCAATTTCTTTTGGACGGAAGGATGAGGTTTGTTGCATGCTTGCGATCTTTTCGATAAGCCGATGGTAGAAATTTCTCGTTTTCTAATCTTATCTCTCGATCGATTCGACTCAACCTCAGCGGCGACGCCGTTCTGGCACCTCTCGCGAAGAAAAGAAGACTGATTTTGTCTACGTTTTAAATTCAAAGATGGAGGCCATCCGTGTTTGTAGTGAGTATAGAAAGCGGGAAACATCTTTTGTTTGCTTAACGAGATCCTTCGATTTAACAATTGCGATAAGCGACACCTCGTACGCAAGTTCGCGATCCATGCGAGACTCGAAGACTTTCGATCTCTGAGCTCGTGTAGGTCGACACGTAGGTCTTCTTCGAGCATACCTCGCATCGTTTTACCCGCGGGATTCGCGCGCGTCGTTCATTCAAACCGCGCGAACAAGCTTCCAAAGCGCGCGCCGAAATAGACTCGCGCTATTTACGTCTCAGTATAAATTCTCCGATCCTAAAACGTAATTATTTTCAATTACTGCTACTACTATTATCTCGTCGATAACAGTATCTTACCGAGTTATCTAAGGCCGGAATCAGACTACGCATTGAAGATTGAGATTGAAGATTGAAAAATTTAAATTTGACTAATCGAAACGAAAGGAGCTAAAATTTCTTTGTCCTTATTGGTCAAATTTCAATCTTCAATCTTCAACCTCAATCTTCAATGCGTAGTCTGATGCCTGAGTCAGTTCTTATTGTCATTCGGACGCATGTTTAAACACTGAGAGAAAGGTGGTATTCAAGACTATAATTGCATGGTAAAGTAATTATGATTAGAGGCTTCATTTTTATGATTATTACTGCTATAATGTTAGTAATAATAACCATACGTATTGTACATTTCTCTCAATTATGAAAAATTGTATATTATAATAATTTAAAATATTAATCATTACACATTAATCATTTATATATTAACTGTTTGTACTGAGGATGGCTCAATTTAGAACCGAGGCGTAGAATTTATGAATCAATGCATTTTCAATTGATTTTTATTAAATGAATTTTTGTATTAATTTATTGCGCGCAAATCCATTTGCCGTGTCGATTCCTAATAACCTTCATTTTATCATTTTATTGTTTAAATCGATAGGAATTCTTTAGTATTTTGAATTTGACATTTTTATTTCATGGTTATTGTTGTTATTCAAATATGAATACACTACAGTATCAAGATAAATAATAAATAAAATACTTTTATTCAGTAACTGTTATCGTGATTATAGCGAATATAACTATTTTCTTAAATTTACCATTTATGTGGTAATAATAAATTTAAAAAATTTAAAAAGAGGATAAAAAGGGTACTGCAAAAATATCTTCTTAAACTAAAAAAAATATTCTCCTAAAGGATTTCATGAAATTTAATATCAGAGATAAAGTTTATTTCAGACCTCATTAATTGGAAATTTTTATTTCTTGTCATATCAAACTTATCCAGTTATCACCAGTTATCACTTTTATAGTTGCCATTACTAGTTTTTTCTGAGTATGTGTTTATAACAATCTCGTTAGAAATTTTTGTTCTTCATAGTTTTTTAGAGGAGTATTCTCTCTTTCAGTATCTTTTCCATGTATTTTTTGAGAAAAAGTGTAAAAGCTATAAAACTTGATACATTTATTTTTTAATGTTTAAATGTTTACACTTTTTAAATATTATAAAAGATTTTTTTGGTAATTATTTGCAAATCTGTATTTCAGGTATTTCAAGATAATCATGTCATCTTAAGCTATGACTTATGATGCAGAAACAAAAAATTCAGAAACTATTATAAGTGCAATTTACGTCCGACCTACAACCAAGTTAAAAAATTGATTTTTATAAAAAATGATAAAGTTTCAAAAAAGAGTTCAATTTTTTCGCTTTTTTTAGCTTCTTCCTTACTGGAAAAATCGAAAAGTTGGAATTTTTATTTAATTGTAGGTCGAACAAAAAAGTTATTGAAAACTTTCCTTAAAAACTTTAATTCAATCAGATTAAAACTACATGAGTCATCATGAATCGATGTTTTTCTAACATGCCCATACAAATTTGCAAATAATTGGCAACAAAATCTTTTATAATGTTTAAAAAAATTTGTGAAGAACATTTAAACATCAAAAAATAAATGTATTAAGTTTCAAGCTAACAGCTTTTTCAAGCTTATAGCTTTTATATTTTTTCCTCAAAAAATTCCTAAAAAAGAGTATAAAAATGGTAGTGCGAAAATATCTTAAATTAACAAAATACTCTCCTGAAGGATTTCATGAAATGTAGTATCAAAGACAAAGTTTATTTTAAAGTTCATTAATTGGAAGCTTTTATTTCTTGTTTTAATTGCTATATTTATTATATATTTTATATATATATATATATTTATTTTATAATCTTTATCATTAATTGATTCAGTAATATATGTAAACCTCCGAATACATAAAGTTACAGTATTTTTTAAAAGCTTTCCAATAAAATTCGAATGTAAATGACGCATGCAAATATCAAAATATGAATTCGGCTATCTATAATATGTTTTCATATTCACGATGCCAAAAAAATATATAAAAATTTCGCAAATGATCGGTTGAAAACACTCGAATGCCACGTCACGTCGGTTGACGATTTAATTCATCGATAGCTTTTCTCCAAGGACTTTTCGTCGAGGTTATCCGACTGCTTAACGCTCGATCGAGTTCCTCGACTTTTCATGGTTTATTTAAATATTACGCATCCGCGGACATACCGGACGGGCACATTCGCAGCATATTATGGTTTATTGTACGCAGAAAGATACTCTACTCCCCCTCTGTATGTTATACGTGCCACCGACGCGCATGTGAGTTCGGAATGCCAGACATTTCGACAGCCTTTTACGCCGCGGCACGGCGTGGATCGATAAAATTGTATGATGGATCATACATACGCAGTGCAATCATGTAAACGCATTATGCACTCCGGTATTTCGAGTGGAGTCTGCGAAATGCGCGTATACCATGCTTTGTCTGGTATATCTGTTCCGACCGTAGGATATTAATGCATCGATATGACTTTTACCTTTGTGTATATTGTCCATAGGGTGTGGCCTGAAATTATTGTTGAAATGAAGTTTGGAAATCGTCCCGCATTATTTATGATTGAAACAATCTAGTTTTTTAATGATTTTTTACGAAAGTCTGAAAAATCAAGTTAATCCACGAAATAAAACGTATTGAAAATTAAAAACTAATCACTTTAATATTAATCTTTATTGTTACACACATTTAGGTCATTCGTATCCTGCGTATTTCTTTTCTCTAAAATACTAAGCGCACCAAGTAATTAGTATTCTAACTTTTCTAATTTCACAATCTTACAAATACTTTCTAAAGATGTTAAAGTATATGTAAGAATCACTTAATAATTTTTATATACTTATAAAAGTGATGAAAATTAATTCTTTCATACCTGATTTTATTGAAATCAGGCTAAAAAAACTTTAATTCAAGGACGCTTTCATGAATAATTCATATTAAACAATTATTTTTTTCAAATTTTTGACTATTTTTTTAACATGTACATTATTTATGTATATTTGATCTCAGATGATGTCAATAGAATTAAATAATTTCAATGGATAATGTCTTCAAATTACATTACAATGTACACAGAGTCTAAAGGCATTAACACAGGATACGATCCATCACGTGTAGCAACGGACAGGAAAATTATTGTGTATATAAAGAGTTAAAATCAAGAATTTTGCAAAAAGTAGAATCGTGCAGTTTGGTTTCGGAAGGATCACGTCCCTCTGACATACAATCTGATAAGTATGCGGAGAAAGAAAGAATACGAAATAGAAAAATCTCAACTAGTAGAGGTTTCCGTGGAAAGTTACACATGGAATAAACTTTAGGATGCACATAAACGGGTTGAAAATTTATTCTTCTGACAACTTTTTCGCGAAAGAAAAATCGAGATATATTTTATTTCGTACAAACGCGTTCTGTATAATAATACACGACGATTTTATTCGAAAGTTTGATGATCGCATGTGAACATTTAACTTAACCTGACCTGATTTTACTGTAACCGGCTTAACTTTACATTAATTTTTTACTCTCACTAATGCGCAATCATTTTTACTTCAAAAATTATTCTGAAGCGCTTTATATCTCTCCTTTCATTTCGCGTTTAATCCCAAACACAGAGTCAATATCATTAGCAATCTCTCGATTAATTAACTCTGCTTAGTAATTTCCTTTCTTCCTAATAATCCTTCTTCCTGTAATCCGTCAGATAAAAATGATTAAATTTATTTAGGCATATCCGAAATAAATCTTTAATGTTCTTGTTATAAATAGTTAGTCACTTTATACTCTTGACGTTACTAATCTCATGTAACCGACGATAATGTAGCTGGTTGTAATAATATACGGATACTGCAAAGAAATGATATTGTGTAATTGTAAAAAAGTGTATCTTTTTTTGTGGGAACAAGTTGCAATTGGTGCAAGGTTACGAGCTAACATACATATACATATATTAATATATTTACGAAAGAGTTGCGAAAGAGTTTAGTCTCGCCCCTGCATCACAATAAAATAACGATACGCGATGAAGTTTCTTCTAGAAACGTTGACATCGTGCTAGCGCGACAAAACATTGCAAGATGAAAAAGTAGCTTAAGTAGCTGTTCGCTCCCTCTTTCTTGTTGTTATACATGAGAAACGAGTTCTCGTTCCAAGCACGACGAGAGTGAGAGTAATCCTGCAACTTTCGTTTATTCCCGCCCGGCAACCTCGTGATGTCATAAATATGACCGCGTATCGTAATCCGAATTGGCATTCTCGTGGTGAAAGGTACAGCGATGGAGAAAAGAGGTTGGTGCTGGAAACGAAAATGTTAAAATCGTATCAGCGTTTCTCATAAATACAAAATTTTGCATGTTGAGTTACAAATATTTTTATTAATAAAGACATTCTCGAATGCTCCACAAAAATTACATTTAAGTATACAGAATAAAGTTTCGTCGTA